TATTCTCGTTCCCAGTCAGGGAAAACCCCACAGGCAGCGATAAAAGGGCCAAGACAATCCAAATTGGGCATATTCAGGACTTAGTGGGAACACCAACATGCAGAAGCCTGATCTGACGGTTCATAAATGTATTTCAAACAGATCATCTAGATTTTTCTCCAGTGGTCAGGCTGAGATTTATTTATTTTTTACGAGAAAAAAGTCTTAATATCATGAGAATTAAGTCATAATATACAGAGAATAAAGTAATTTTTATCATGAAAAAGGCCAACAAATTAATAATCCAAACATTTTTCTCATTAAAATGACTTTTCTCGTAATTTCAGGACATTATTCTGACAAAATTGCGTATTTATTCTGCTAACATTATAACTATATTCTTGAAATAAAACAAAAATGTCCATAGCCTGGCAACAAAAATGGATGATTGAAAAAAAGCCACTTTTTGAACATAAATTGGGCTTTTGTATTTTTTTTTTCTAAAAAAGAAAGCAAAAAATAAATAAATAAAATTCTAAATTGAATCTGGGATGAAAAAGCTAGAAATTTAATTTTTAATCCCTATAAAAAATTTCAAACCCATTAATACATTGATAATACTGCAAAGCGTCCTAAATTCAAGTTTTTCACATTAAATATGATTTTGTTGGGTTATTGATATATTTACAATCTAACTTGCTTAAGAAACTTTTTTATCATCACTCGGCTTTGTGAATGACTTTATTTCTGCATTTAGTTTGTGGGCTGTTGTTGATGTTTAGCTATAATTTGCATCTTTAAATCAAATCCAGTAAAGCAAGGTTCTTCAAAGAGTTGGGCAAAAATAAACTGCGAATGTTCAGCCAACTTCAGCTAGCCTATCTCCTGTTCATTCCTCCAGCCACCGGGGGGCGCTGTTATAAAACATAACTTAACGAAAACTTGATAGAGTTACCAAAGTTCAACAGTGAACTGCTTGACACTGAGATTGTTTGGATCATTTTGTTTTTACTGCTTGGATCTGTTTTATCTGAACAAAACAGCAGAACAGAACTCCATAGTGGAATTCGATTACATTTGATACATTTGTGTATGAAACTATTAAAGATCCTGAAAAAGGACTGCTAATTATTTTCTGTTAATGTTTCAAGGGTCCTTAACAATTCGGCTAATCTGTCGTTGACCTATTTATTTACTTTTATTGCGTTTTTGACATATTTTGACATATCCCATGCTTGGGGGAATTGCTTCTGTCTCTAGTATATTGTCTGCATGGAATTATATAGTGACCGTTTATAAGTCAATAAACTCCTAATAATGCTGAATCCTGCATTTGTTGGGTTTTATGTTTTGTTTCACACAGAGTTCAAAGGCTCAGGTTGCCTTTATGAATGCACACATTTAAACTTTTCTGTTTGTTAATGCATTTCACAGCTATGCAGTGCTCTGCGAGCATCAATCTGGTAATGAAATGGGGAACAGAGCAACACAAGGCCGCCGTCCCTGCGTGTGATTTCAGCTTGTATACACCAGAGAAAATCAAGCTGTGAACATCCAACAATTTACATCACAAACGCTGAACGTCTTCGCTACGAATACCTTACATTTCCACCGTATGTGGAGCAGATTTATCCTTGATGATCGTCTACTTTAGTTCCATTAAATCACATCGCTCATTTAACTTTTTAAAAGGGTATTTACTTTCATCGCTGCTGTATTTACATCTCAGCCCTGCACTGTGCGGCATTCAGCCTGGCTTCGGATGCACAAGTCTAATCCAGTGATGCTGTTGGTGCATTAATCCCCAGCCGGGCGAGGCAGATGGCTGCCCTCACGGAGTCCGGCTTTTGCTGGAGGTCTCTTCCTGTTAAAGAGGAACTCTCCGCTCCGACTCCCTGTGAATCCTCAGAGGATCCTATTACCCCGAACTGGACTCTGTTAAAACAAACCGGACTGGGCCGAATTTATCTGGACTCCTGTAAACTGTTTACTTCCTCTTTAAACAAGGGCTGCAGCGCTGTGCAAGATAGAGCCGTTTTAGTTTGGTAACAGTTTCCAACCTTACACTGTAAAAACACAAAATCTTACAGAGTATTTTTGGTCTGCAGTCGTTTCTATTATAATATCTAAGATAAGATGAGACAAAACTAATTTACAGGTAACTTTTCAGCAAGATATAAGAACTTATTCAAAGTAAAACATTTCTTTAAAATAAACTTAGAAGTTATACTAGCAGATTATTTCACTTTTAACAGTTTTAAATTAAATAATCTGACGTGAAACTAGCACAGTTTTAAATTAAGATTCAGGAATTAACGAGTTTTTATATCTTGCTGAAATGTTACTTGAAGTGAACTAAGGTATTTGCTGGATAAATACTTTGTGTTTTTGCAGTGTGCAGCCCTGTCTTTAATAAGGACCAACAACAATTCATCACATAAAAGCCCAAATGGAAAAGCTTTTACTTTGAAGCAGCCAGCCTGTTCTTCATGCAACGCACCAACTAAAACCTAATCCTATTTTGATGTAAATATTCCAGAGTGATGCAAGAAAGCGCTGCGGGTCACAGTTAAACTGCACCCCGCTGATGTGTAGAAACTACTTAATAAAGTAGGCATTAAAACAACATAACCTCTGACTGAGCGCGGCTGCTCTGTAAACACGCGCCAAGCTGCAGAGGTGTGTGTTTGCTGCAGTAATAGACCCCACCAGAAGCTGCTCGCAGTGTAAACAAGCACTGAAAATCTCCAAGATCAAAAGTTTAATATCCTATCTGTGTTTGTTGTTCTTTTAGGAGAAAAAACACAGATTTACACAGAGTCTACGCGGTTTGTAACAGCAGCAACAATCCTCTCTGCCTGGTGTACACAGGATGTTCATGCACTCTGGAGTTGTTATGCAGCCTGTGTGGCTGGAAAATGGGAACTTATTTGCTCAATTAGAGGCTCCTGAGCCACGTCTTGCTTTGATGAGCTCTGAGTGTTAATAAAAATCTACATTAAATGAGTCTTTTCAGAGAAACATGCAGTTGATGGTGGTGGTTTCTGTGTTTTAATCTTGTTGCTGTCTGCAGACGGCCTCTGAGGAGGAATAAACGCTTTCATCAATTAGACTGAAGACAGCCTTACAGACAAGACTGAGGGGAAAACGCTTTCAGCTGCTGGAGATGTGAGTCTCTTTAGGCTAAATGCCGTCATATCTGCAGAACACATCCAACTGAAATGAGGGATCATGCACAGCGACACAAAGTTAGAGATTATTTTACTTTGTGTCACATATGGAAAAACTAAATGTATTTAATTCAGATTCTTTCCAATAAATGTCTCATCTTAAGTATTTTTGTCTGGTTTCTCGTGCAAATCAAGCATTCAATAATTCCTCAATATTGATGAAAAATTACTAGGTACATTGTAGATTATTTCACTTAAAATATGGGAAAAATATCGTGTAAATGAAATAATCTGCCAGCAGAACAAAACTGCAAAAATACAAAAGTATTTTGGTCTAGTTTCTAGCAGTAACATCATATTAAATTTGATATAAGCTGATTTTAGGTCAATAATTCCCTAATACTGGTTAATAAAAATGGTTCCACTGGCAGATTATGGCACCTAAAACATGGGGAAAAAATAAAAATGTCTTGTAACAAGTGAAATAATTTGACAAGAGAACTAGTATTTTATTTTATTTTTTAAATCAAACTTTAGTTTTTTGCAGAATATTTGTAAAATATGTTGTTTTTTTCATAATTGCTCTCTTTAGGTTTTCATAGTCAGCGGTGTCGCCATGCCTACGGCGGCCATCTTGCTTCACAATCGTGTTTTATAGCTTCTGTTTACTCAGACTTTGATTATATTTTGCATATATTTTTATGTCACATCTTGGTAACTCTAGAAGCGTTTCTCTCAGTAAAATTACTTTTTTTAAAAATTATGTATTTATTCTTATAATTATATTCTCGTAATTAAACAGAAATTCTTCCATCCTTGCATCTCCACGCTGCTGCACAACTCCCAGAATGGAAAGCTGAAATCAGAGCCTCTGAAATGCTTTTCAGATTTCTGCATAACGTTTTTCACTGCTTTGCGTTGGTCTGTCATCCCAGTAACATCCAGTTTGTAATGTGACAGAAGGTGTAGAGCTGCTGACCTTTCTGAGCACGATGACGCCTTCCTGCGTGCTCCTGTTGGCGAAGACGTCGAACACGCCCGGCCCGTCGCTCCCGATGATCTTATAGTTCATCTCGGCGTTCTGGCCGATGTCGGCGTCCATGGCGTGGATGACTCCCACCGTGGAGCCCAACTCGTTGGACTCGGGCACCCTGAACTCGTACAGGGCTGCAAGGAGAGAGAGATCAAAAACCTGGAGTCAGATTGGTACAAGTGACCTGATATTTGAAAATACTTCATTAATCCAAAAGGGAAATTAAATGTTTATGTTTCCTTGAACAGTTTAGGATAAATCTGTGGTCGATACAAAACTTGTCACATTTTTTTGTATAAAATCATTCTTGCATTATGAGATATTAGTCTGGACAGATCTGCCTGTTCTGAGCTGCTTTGAGAAAGGTCTCCTTTAGGGCCTCTTGTTACTTTACTGTTGCTAGGTAACGGGTTGGGCTTCTCTGGGGTTGCTAGGTAACGGGCTGGGCTTCTCTGGGGTTGCTAGGTAACGGCCGCTGTCTGGTACATTCCGGAGGTTTTATAAATGGACCATTTTCCAGTTACCAAAAAACATCAACTTACTGCCTAAAAACAACTGGGTGACTTTTTTTTAACACTTCACTCCAAAAGCACAAAATCTTACTAAAAAAAACTAACTTATGGGTAACTTTTCAACACGATAAATAAGCTTGTTTACATAAATAACTGCTTAATATTGATAAAAATTAAAGAACTAGTTTCACTAGAAGATTATTTCATAAGTAAGAACTTTTTTCCATGTTTTAAGTGAAATAATCTACAGAGGAATTGGTACTTTTTCATCAATATTATGGATTTATTGACTTGAAAAAACTCCTACATCTTTTTGAAAGTCAGCTAGTTTTGTCTTATTGATGAAAATGACAGTTCTGGAAGATTATTCTGCTTATATGGGGAAATGTCTTGTTATAAGTGAAATAATCTGCCAGTGGAACTAGTATTTTTTTTTAAACAAGTGTATTTATCTTGCTGAAAAGTTATTTGTAAGTTAGTTTTGCCTCATTTCAAGCATGGTAAGCTATTTCCACTAGACATTAAACAAAAATTCTTGGTATGATTTTGTGTTTTTGCAGTGTTGGGTTGTTTTTAGAAGCAGTAGAGACCCACATTGAAGTACAAAAACATGTAAAATGTGACATTCAACATTTTTAGCAAATATGATGAGAGAAAAGTCCGAAGTGTGTGGTCATGACAACCGAGGTCAAATCTTTTCATCTTTTCAAATGTTGACAATTTTTTATAAAAACAGGCCAAAAACAGATAAAGCTCCTCCCTGATGGAACTACTAAGAGAGAAAATGTCTTTTCTGACCTTGTTAATGTGAAAAGCAGCAGGGTAAGTGGATGAGTCACAGAGTTCAGGTCGAAGCGAATCGGGAGCGTGTGAATAGATTTATCGCCCTTAGATGTAAAACATCTTTCGCTTCCAAACCGACTCGCTACAAACCCCGCGCAGCATAAATCCTAGGCCAATTTGCTCAACATAAATTAATTGCCTCTTGTTTTTGGTTTTTCTTTTTTTATGCGCCAGATGATTTCCTGGTTCTGGTCGAGGCGACGGATTGATGGCTGCATCCAGTATGCTTAACCGAATCGGCTGTGATGTACGCGCGCGCAGCCCGCGGAGACAAACAGCACACACTCACTAATAAAACATGCTGACAGTGTTTTGGCAACGCCTGAGTCGGCAGGTCTGTGTGACACTTAACTCCAAACACATTCACTGAAAGGGGGAAGCTCTGCGCGAAGGTTTCCCTGAGGCTAACAGGTATTTAGCATCAGGAGCAGAAGAAGAGGCATCACTCCGGCAGACAACAATGATATCGCTTCCTGACACTCTTCCTCCTTTGGGTGTCCCGTTACAATCTCTCTTCCTCTTCCTGCTCTCTCTCTCTCTATCGTTTATTTATTTTTTTTGTTGTCTGTCTGTCTCTCCGTCCTCCCTTGCCCTCCCTCGTTCTATCGCCGTGGAGATGACAGCGTCTGCCACCGGGCTCGCCGCGCGTGAACGTGTAAATTCAATACGTTTCCAGGCTCAGAGTTACACAGTCCCTCAATCCCTGTTTTGTCAGTTTTTAAGCTATTTATAGAAAAGGTCATAAAGGATTTAGTGGACAGAGGTCAGACTGCAGCAAAAAACAGAGAGACGGACGGATAGATCGTTTTATGAATGGAGGAATCAACACAGCAGGAGAGAAATTCTTCTCCTCCTCCTCACTAACTCCCTAAAAACCGTCCCATGAACCTCTGCTGCTCTCCATCATTCTGGCAGCGCTGTGGCCTGCCGACGCTAACTGGAGGCTTCGCCGGCATCCCTGCAGCCATGTTGTCCTGCCACACCAAACAGAGCGAGGGAGGAGGGAGGCAGGAGGACGGTAATCTGTCCATCCGATGTGGACAGATGCACAGGAGGAAGAGACGGGAGAGAAAGGCGAGTCGGCCTGCATGTGGATTGATGGCTGAAAGAGGAATGCACCGAGGCCGGTTGGCGCTCTAAAGTGAGAACAGCGGTTTTATGGAGTAAAAAGCTGCAGAGCAACGACTTAATAGTCGGACAGAGACAAAGAGCGAGGAAGAGGAGTGGAGATAAAGCCCAGGGAATGCTCTCTCTCCGTTTAATAGGGATTACAGGCCTGATCTGATGCACTTTCGGGACCCTTCGCTCCGTCATATGGCTCTATATTTAATTATTCTGTGCCTTTAAGAGGTCCGCCGCAGTCGCACACAACCCAGAGCTCCCTGCAATAATCCAAATTCATTTTGAAACTGACACCAGATGGGGGCTGCCAGCCTGGCACCGACTCCTGCTGTTGACTGGTCACTGTGTGTGTGTGTGTGTGTGTGTGTGTGTGTGTGTGTGTGTGTCCAGAAGGCCTGTGCTCACTCTTGGAGAAGCGTGGCGGGTTGTCGTTCACGTCCGACAGGGTGATGCTGACCGTGGTGGTTCCTGAGAGCCCGCCCATCTGGCCCGCCATGTCTTTGGCCTGGATCACGACCTGGTAGTCCTGCTTCACCTCCCGGTCCATGCCGGGCAGCGCCGTCTTGACCAGACCTGGGGACGAAAAAACAACAAAACAGCAGGATTAAATCCAGATTTATCTCCCAAATTAAAAAAGCAAACAAACAGGAAACAAAATCAGTTTTACAAACTCAAATAAACTGGGAATCAAAATGACTAATTTTTGGTTTTGAAGACTTAATTTTCAGAAAATCTGTTTCTTTTACCAATGTACTCATTTTCCATAGAAAGACAAACCAGCATAAAATGGGAAAATGTATAGGTAAATATTAGTAACTGTTACTTCTGACTGCCACTTTGATTTTGATTTTTTTAATGACAGTAGGACTCTAAAGTCTCAAGTGTTTAGAGGTAGGAGTTTATAAGTTCTCACTTCTTCCTACCCCATTTTGAGCATGATATGTTAACTGAAACTTCTTTTTTATGCACTTCTTGTTACTGTGCACTATTTTATTTTTATATTTGTATTTGTATCATGTTCGAATAAAATTTCATTTCATTTCATTCATAGATCATCTTAGTATGCTGAGGGCGGCCATCTTGATTCACAGCCTGTATTTATTTAAACCCAACTCTATGACAAAGTTTTAGAGCAAGACTAAGATTTTTTCTTTTATTTTGGGAATAAAGTCACAATATTACCAGAATGCAGTCGTACAACGATAAATATGAAATAATAGAATAGTAAAGTTTTAAGCCGTAATATTAGAATGAAGTATTAATTTCATGAAAACTCCTTCATGACAAAAAATGTTAAATATTTAAATGAGGAATCTTGAGCATCTTGTAGTTAAAACTTTTTGTAGCATGGCCCCAATACTTTGTAGTACAACTCACAGAAGCCACTTTTTTAAAACATCAAATATTTCAAACAAGATTTTTTCCCAGCTCTAATTGCAACATTTTTTTTTTTTACATTTTCAGCTGTTTAAAAATGAGTCAAAAGATCTGCAGCCTTTGAAAAAGTTGTTCCCCTCCTCGCCTGTGGTAGCGCTGCACCAAAAACCACAGAAGAAGACACTGAACTCAACTTCCTCCTTCATGAAATGGAAACAAAAAAGGAGTGGAGTCAGATGTTTGCAGTTGTAGGATTTGTCTGTTATATTTGGCAAACATCCATGAGTCATTTCTCCTGTTAGCGCTAGGCTAACTCATTTGTTTTGGTTATATTTACCCAGAATGCCCTGTGCTATAGTCCGCTTCCTTCGTTTGGAGCGGTTTCCAGTCTGCTTGGCGTTCACACATGCATTCAAACCGCACCAGTTTGCTTTGTCAGAGTTTGATTACACATTCACACCGCCCCAAACGAACCAGACCTGGAGTTGGATTAAAGCGGACTAAACATGGCTGCTGTGAACACAAACTGATGATGTGGTCACTGACTGCTCTGGCACCTGGACCATGAAAATATCTCCCATCTAATTTTCCTATGAAAATCTGTAGAAATATACAAATAAGCCCTGGTTATGCATGATATGGGTACATGCTAGAAATACGACCAGTAGGACACAATGTCCTACTGATATATTGATTGATATATCAAATATATATAAATCAATGCTGCAAATTTCAATTAGACCAACTGAAATATTGTACAATTTAGTATATTAAATTACTACAATTAGCTGTTTGTCTAGGAAAACCAATGGAATGGAACCAACTGCAAATTATCCAACTAGAATTGAATTCTAGTCCAGTTTGATTCGCACCAAATCATTTCAAAATAACCTAAAACATGATCAGATTACAAACAGTCCAATTCAGCCCAGTTTGTTTCCGTACCAGACTCAGTCATTTTCAATCCAAGTCAATCAAAGTAAATGAAATATAATTTACTAAATTAAAAAAGGATCAAGTTAAATTCAGCCCAGTTTATTCATTACAACCCAGATGTAATTTAGTAAGACGGTTAAAGATTCAGTTCATTAACAAAGATGAATATTCACACCTGGTTCGGCTTAATCAGACCTGCACTGATTTGATCGTCTTTATTGATCATAGATAAGCACAAAAATGATTCAGTTCAATTAAAAGAAACACTGAATTGATCCCAGAGGGAAATTAAACATTGTTGTAACTTAAATTATACAAGTTTCTTTTCCTGTTTTGTTTGTTTTTTTTATGACAACTAAACTGAATTTCGGCTGCATTTGAACAACAAGTGAGGATGAATGTTTTACTCACAAATAGAAACACAAAATAACCTAAAATAAAAAGTATCAAACATTAAGCAGTTCACAAAAACATTTCTCCCTCTTTTTGACTTGTGTGTCTTGAAAACAAATTATTGAATCACTGTATGTGTTTTAAGCCAAAAAGCACAATCTTTAATTTTCTCAGAGTGGAAGCGACATCTGAAAGCTTCCAGGATCGTTTATCGTCTCCTCTGTTGATGTTTGCACCATTATAGCGCCAAGGAGTCGCCTGCTCCTTGAAACACCTTCGGCTTGGCGTCGGGACAGAGCGAGGCGGTAATTGGCAGCATGCTGAAAAGGTGTGCGCGACTCCCATCAGGCCCCAAATCCAGGCTGCTGCTAAACGCTTTCATTTGAAGCAAAGAAGCTGGTGGGAGTTCAAACTCAGAACGATGCAAAATTAATAAATTTCACCTTGAATAAAGCTAAACTTTCAGGAACTGAGGCTTGAGGAAGAGCAGAATATTATTTAACGTGACAAGTGAAGAGATGGAGGATGTTTTGAATCAACTTTTCTTTAGTTTTCAATGGAAAACAATGAAAACATGCATTTTACCAGGGGGGCAGATACTGGCATTATACCGATGCTGAAAACAGCTAGCATCAGCCTACAGACATACAGAAAAATAACTTACAAGGAGCGACACAAATATGTTAAAAGACGGATAACATCAACTGGTACAGCTGTTAAAAGTGACTAAAATCGGCCTGTGCTGATATAATAAAGAACACTGATCGATATCGATACGTTAAAAAACAGCTAACATCAGCTGATACTGACGTTACAAAACAACTAAGAATGGCCAGATCGTTAAAAAACGACTGACCAATTCCAACAGTACAAAACTGCTAAACTGGACCAATTTCAACGTTAAAAATGGCTAACATTCGCTAATGCTGATGTTACACAGCAGCTAATCAAATCCTTAAAAAAGGCTAACATCAGTCGTTTGATATGGTAAATGACGACTAGCATCGACCAATTCCAAAATCAGCTGATACTAATATGTTAAAAATAACCAACATTGGCCAATATGTTAAAAAATGGCCAACATCGACTGATAGCAACTCTAAAATACGCTAAATAAATGAATTTCACCTAAAGCGAAACATTTAAGGTTTCAGTTTGAGCAGAATATGATTTAAAATGACGAGGGAGAAGGCGGAGGATGTTTCAGATCAACTTTTCTTTCGTTTTTATCAGGCGACTTCACTTCCTGCTTCCACCTTTGTCATTCCTTAATGACTACAATACCCAGAGAAGAAGAGGAGGAGTGGGAAACAAATCCTGCTTATAACGCGATGTCCAGGCATGTCTTTGTGTAAGAGGGGATGTCAGCTTACATACCACATGTGGGATAAACCATATTACTGTTAATCCCCTCACTAATCTGCAAATGGCTTTTTTTTTCCCTGACTCTTTTGTTTAGACGCGAGCGGGATGCGTTCCAAAGCGCGCAGTAATGATTAAAAGTAGATCTTTAGGACGGCTGATTTGCAGCAAATCCCCTCCCCGCTCCACCCGGCGGCGGCGGCGGCTTCAGAGGAGGCGAGGCGGGCGGGTTTCTGGGAAAACGAGGCTGGTTTCACTGCGTTCTCTTGTCAGGGATTGTTCTAGTTCAGCTTCTGTGTTTCTGTTTGCTTGTGTTTTCCTCACAGTGGCGCCTGCAGGCAGCACCCAGTCTGTAGGTGGAGCGGCGCTGGAGCTCAGCTGCTCTGGCAGGACGCCACTTTCAGTTTTTACTAAATATTTAGGTGGACCCAATGGAAGAAACTTTAATTTACAAAAATAATCAATAAAAGGTTATCAAAATGGCTCGTTATCTGCTGAAGCATCAGTTTTCTCATAGTTATTTGATCCAAATAAGAGAAGTTTTTGAATTAAGAAAAGGATAAGTAAAAGTAATATTTAATGTCAAAAAAACCTAAACTTAAAAGTAGAAGCAAATTAAAAGACAATTATAAAAATAGTTCAAAAATAAATCTTTTAAAATTAAAAATATGAAAAAAACTGAAATAAAAAAGAAAAATTCAAAAATACATTAAAAAAATTCTGGATTTTGGGAGGAAAATCTAAAAGAACAAAAACTAAACTAAAAGAATCAAATAAACCAGGACAGTAAATATTAGAAGGAAGAAGAAATAACAAATAAACAAAAATGAAACTAAAGAAAATAAAAGTAAAAAATGAAGGAAAAAGAGGTGAACGAGTGAACCAGTAGATTTTGCCTCCTTTTTACCCCTAATAATAAACAGTTATTAAAGATTTATCAAGTGTTTATGGTCTTATTGTGAAGTTTTTGTGTAAATAATCCTTTAAAACCAGCCAACTGAAGTGAAAGGCGTTAAAGTTTGACCTTTGGAGGCGATGCTGACCTGTTTCCGGATCCACGGAGAAGTACGGCTGGCCCTCCAGGATGCTGTACACCACCTTGGCACTGTTGCCGTAGGTGGCGTCGTCTGCGTCCGTGGCCGTCACCTGGATCACCGAGGTGCCTGCGGCGAGAAAACAGCATCAGGACGATGATTCACATGGCGGCTGAAGAATGAGCCTCTGGATAATCGGTCGGGCCGATGCTCCGTCTGATGAGACGTCCGGTCCTCCTCTGAATGTGAATGATCGTTTCTGTCTCTTTACGTTACCAGAAGCAATCTTTATCACGACGCCGTGTATATCCCCACACATGATTGATCTCCACAGCTAATCGATTGGCCCTAATGTAAACATATCTCTGTCTGCAAACCCCAAGACGCCCAGCAACGTTTCCGTGGTTCCAGAAAGTCTGAGAAACAAATACTGAGCCTGGAAAAGTATTCAGCTTCTTCACATTTTGTTGCATTACTGCTCTGAGTTTTAATTTTATTTGGATTTTACTGATCGATATCTGATTATAATATTCTTATTTTGGCTGATACCTGATGTTTACTGACAAAACAGCTAACATGGACTGACATCAATGCAAAAAATATATATCGGCCAATACCGATATATTAAAAAACGGGTACAGATTTGTTATAAAATTATTTAAATTGGGCTATGCTGATAAGATAAAATAAATAACTACAATTAGCCAATATGTTACAGCTAATATTGGCCAATACGGTATGTAAAAAATGACTACAATTGGCTGATCCTGATGTTAAAAAATAAATCTATTGTTGTTACCAATATGTTTAAAAATGACTAAAAATCAGCCAATATTGATATGTTAAAAAATTGCTAGGATTAGTTGGTACAGTATGTCTAAAAACAGCTAACAGTGGCTAATACCAATGTTGAAATAAGGCTAAGATCGGATGATAGCAATGTTTAAAAATGGCGAACATCAACAAAAACCAATGTTAAAAAATGATTAACGTCGGACATTGACAGAAAAAATACATTTTAAAAAATGGTTAATTTCAGCAATACCAAAGTTAAAAATGGCTAACGTTAGCTGATACTAATGTTAACAAATGACTAACGTTAGCTGATACTAATGTTAACAAATGGCTAACGTTAGCTGATACTAATGTTAACAAATGACTAACGTTAGCTGATACTAATGTTAACAAATGGCTAACAAAGGCTGATACCAAATGGCTAACATTAGTTGATACCGATATGTTTAAAAATGGCTAACGTCGACCAATATCATTGCTAAAAATTGCTAGCATTGACAGAAACCAATGTTAAAAAAATAACCTACACTAATGTTAATCCCTATAAATCCTCCCTGATTATCCCCCTTACACTTTTCTATGTTTTCTTCATCTCTAGCAGAAACCCTAGCAAACACAGTTTTGGATGTTTAATGTGATAAACTGTAGAAAAGTTAAAGCGGAGCGGTGAGTATTTGTGCCTGGATGGCAGGTGAACATATCCGGTTTCTCTTCCAGAAAGAACAAAGGGAGACCGTTAGCCAAGCGCTAGCTCCCAAACGGCGCCTTGCGGGCCAAGTGTTGCCTCATTACATGCTGAGGGAAATTAATTGAGTAGAAATATTTAATGGCAAAGTGCTATAAATACAGAATTGTGCAACAGAAGAAGAGAGCGACCTGATGGAAGTTTGCTAATTTGATGTGAGCCGAGGCGAAGGGAGACGTTAAAACTAGAACCGTCAAACTGAGGCGCAGCTCGGCGGCGGTTCGGGGAGATTCTCCAGGAAGTTCAGCGAACCCTGATCGCTAATACCTCTGACAATGGAATTAGACTCAAAGAGGCTTTTTTCTGTCACAGATCCACATCAGTCACCTTTAAATCTTTAAGTCAGGAGCGATCACATCACAGGATTTTCTTCTTCTCCTGCTGCTTTTTTCTCTGCCTGTAATCATCAGTGCGCAGGGTTGCCAGGTCTGACAGTTTCCAACCCAAAAAAGACTTAAAATCCCCCCAAAAGTTGATAGCACCAGATATAGTCATTTTTATCAAATAAGTCCAAGAACACTGAATTTATTAAAGGTTTTGTGCTTTTCTGCCTGTCACAATACTAAATTTCCCCAGTAATTATTGCAATAAACAATAATATTGTTGTTTTGAAACCATTTTCAAGTGGTAATAATGACATAATAATGCAAGAACACTTTCTAAAGATCAATAAACTTTCAAACTTAATGAACATTTAACACTGAAACTGAAAGAAATGTTCAAAATAAATAAATAAAGCAACAAAAATGAGAAATAAAATGAATTATGAAGTCTCTGTAAACAAAATTGTTCTTTAAGTGCACAACACTGCAAAAATACAAAATCTGACCAAGTATTTTTGGCCTAGTTTTTAGCATACACTTGAAATAAAACAAAACTAGCTTATATATAAGCTTTCAGCAACATATAGAAGCTTACTTAAGTCAATAATCCCTTAATATTGATGAAAAAGTACTAGTTCCACTGGCAGACTATTTGAATTATAAAATGGGAAAAACATCTTGCTATAAGTGAAATGATCTGCCAAAGCAACTTATACTTTTTCATCAATATTAAGGAATTATTGACTTAAAACAAGTTCCTATTTGTGGTTGAAAAGTTACTTAAGAATTTGTTTTGTCTTATTTCAAGTGTAGTAAGAAATTTGCACCAGAAACTAAACCAAAAATACTTGGTAAGATTCAGACTGAAGACTTTTGTCATCCAGTTTTTGGTAGAAAGAGAAAAACAATAAATCATGCGAATGGAAATTAATTTATCCTGCGATTAATTGCTCATTACTGGGACAGTGCCATCTCTTCCTTTCTAAAGAAGGAGCCCAGGTTTGATCAACCTGTGTTCAATGTGACAATGCTGTCTGCTGCAATAAAAGCGAAAGCGAGTGTCACTTTTAAAGGAGCAGCGTCTCGGCGCAGTCACTCGTGAACACATGCTCTGCCATGCGCTGACATCACACCTCGCCTGTTGCCATGGGCACCCGTGCTGCCCTCAGATAAGTGCCGGCCCTCTCTCACTCGGGGTTGCTGAACCGAGTGACAACTGTGTCACATGTCTGACCGCAGTCGCCCCGAGACACTCTTCTTATGTTTTTCATGCTGCTATCGATTGGGAGCCTTTCTGTGTTGTTTATCTATATTCATGAGCCGCTTTTAGAGCCAGAATTAAACTTTCATTCGGAGGAGAGTGACGGTGCGGCTTCAGCAGCCGCAAGGATTAAAATCCACACTTCTTCTCTGCAGTGACACAGCCGACAGTGCTGCTAATTAAATTCAATTAAATTCTGCTTTAATAGACTACAATACTGTGTTTAAAAGATTATCTGCTGCAGCGGCTGTTTAGTCTGGTCTCCTCATCGCTCGTTTAATTAGACGTGCTCTCTTTGTTGAGTTGGCGTCATTATGATGATTGATAAAATCCCACTGATCCGCAGTTTTATAACGTCTGAATCATAATCCTGTTAATGCAGCTCAACCTTCACCTGAGTAAATGTTGATCAATTTAGGTTTTTACGAGTTGGTCGCAGACAAAAGCTTCTGCAGAGACAAAAAGACCTGCTGGATATCATGACATATTAAAGAATAGGACTCATGTATGCAAATGCAGTTGTGTGAAATCTGTTTGTTTCGGTTGCGACTACGCTAAAATATGGTAATTTATTCCAACAAATTCAAGTTCATTTCCAGGAAAATTTCTAATACCTGACCGTCCGCTAGACTCGGTTTCATTTGGGACCAAAGGTGCAACATTTGTTACATTTTCAGCTGCTGCTGTTTTCCCCTCCTCGCCTGTGGGGGCGCTGCACCAAGAACCACTGAAGAAAGTGACATAAAACGGAAGTTCTTGCAACTTCTTTAGCATCAGATTTTAGTCTTTAGCTGAAGACCATGAGCCTTTTCTCTGTAGTTCACTTCCTGCTTTGGAGCGGTATCTGGCCCACTTGACGTTCACATACGCATTCAAACAGAACCAGAGTTCACTTCAACCAAACCGAGACCGAGGTTTGTAGGTGGACCAGAGTTTACATTTTTCTTTCACATCCAGAATGACAGCTCATCGTTAGAGCTGCAGGAAGTGGACTACAGAGCAGGGCATTCTGGGTAAATGCAACCAAAATAAATGTGTGTGTCTAGCGCTAAAGCTAAAGCGCTAAAGACCAAAATGTGTTTTGGTCTTTAGTCAAAGACTAAAGGGAAATCCTACAACCACTAAAATCTGATCCTTCTTAATTTTTGTGTGCATTTTGTGAAGAAGGAGGTTGAGATCAGTGTCTTCTTCAGAAGTTTTTGTGTTGTTTCGTGTTGTTGGTTCTTGGTGCAGCGCCCCCACAGGCGAGGAGGGGAACAAGTTTTTCAAAGGGTTTGGATTGATTGAAAGCGAACCGCTGCAGCTGAAAATGCAACAAATGTTGCAACTTTGGTCCCAAATCAAACCGAATCTAGCGAACTGTGAAACCATCTAAACAAGAGGTGTCAAACTTTCAATATTGTGTATTAGGGCCATTATAGATTAAAAAAAAAAAAAGAGATGGAGTAAATTTCTGCCAAAAAAATTAAAACATTTTTTTGAGAAAAGAAAATTAATATGGTTGAAAAAATAGAAATTTGCTAGATTAATCTAAAAAAAATCTCTAAAAAAATGGAGGTTTCTGAGGTAAAACTCAAAAATTTTAAGCCTCAAATCTCAGAAATGTTCTAGAAGAAACTTTGACATTTCTGAAATTGGAAAGTTGAACATTTGCTACCAACAAAAAAATTATAAAATTTTGAGATTAATCTCAGAAATCTTCCAGAAAAAAAATTTGACTGTTAAAAATTTTGGACTTTTCAATCTTTTTGAAACTTTTTGAAATTCAGAAATGTCCAAGTTTTTCCTTCAAATCTAAATACTTTCGAGTTTATCTGGCAAATTTTTTAACTTTTCAAACTCAGGAATGTCCTTGATTTTTCTAGAAATGTACTCCTCCCTGTTTTTTTCCCATCTCCACCGGTCCTGCTCCCCCGCCATATGAACCCGAAGCCCCGGAGTTTTGGGAAACGTACCGACGTCGGACATCTCGGCCACCTGGGCGATGTACGGGTCCTTGGTGAAGCGCGGCTCGTTGTCGTTGATGTCGTGGATCTTGATGATGAACTCGGACTCGCCCTCCAGCGCCTCGTTGGTGAGCCGGTTGACGGCCTTGGCGTGCAGGATGTAGAAGGCCTTCTCCTCGCGGTCCAGCCTCTTGGTGGCGTGGATGTCGCCGGACTTCTCGTCGATCTTGAAGAGCGTCCCGGCGCCTTCGCCGGTGAGGACGTAACGCACGCTACCGTCTTCTCTGTCGCTGTCCGAGTGGAGCTACAAAACGAAGCAAAAACATTTCAAATCGGCAACAACACAAAACATTAAATCTCACCAAGGAGTCTTGGTTTTCTAGCGGTTCAACATTTTATAACGTATTTTATACCAAAAACCAACACAAAGTGCACATAAATGAAAAATGAAAACAAAAGTAAAACAAAAAGATCATCAATGTAAAATTTAGCGCAAATGATTTAATTTAGAAGACACCTAATTAATAAAGAGAGTAAATTATTCTCATTACAAATGGAGCTGTTGCACAGTGGCGCTCTTAAATGGTGGCCAAGGGGAGCCAAGGCCCCCTTTGGAAAATTACTGTATTTTTATCTAGTTTCTAAATCTGTTATAATGAAAAAATACTAAAATAATCACATAATAAGTTAAAAAGAGCTTAATTATTTTGATTCTGATTATGTGTGGTTTATATTTACGTTTTGTTTTTTAAAACTGTGTTTTATTTTGGATATTTAAAATATCTTCTAGTTCAAGTTGTGTTCTTTACTAAATTAAAGTTTAATAGTCTTTGAAGGGTCAAACTTGCATTTATCATGCCATTATTAAAGTATTACTTGAAAACGCTGTTAAAACAACATTATAATATTTAATCTTGTAATATTTGTTACGAGGCTAACTAGTTTAGTGCAAATATGTAATAATTAATAACAGAAACTTTTCAGAATGACATAGGAGCTTTTTTAAGTCGATAATTTCTCAATATTAATTAAAAAAATATTTGTTCCTTTGGCAGATTATTTTTCCCATGTTATAGGTGGAACTACAACTTTTTCATTAATATTAAGGTATTATTGTCTTAAAACAAGTTGAAAAGTTATTTGTAAGTTAGTTTTGTCTTTTTCCAAGTGCACTAAGATAGAAACTAGATCAAAAATACATTTGTTTTTTTGCAGTGCAGCAGTTTGTGTAATGCTCATTTTAATAAATTTCCACTTTGCCGCTTTCTGCTGCTAATTGTTTCAAACTCTGCTTCATGAGAGCTTTCACATTTGCTTAATTTGCTTTTATGAACACCAAGCTGCAGCTTTTTGAGAAGGAAAATAAAATTATCACCAGCTGCAAAAAGAAAATATATAATAAAAAATAAAAATAACAGTGAGAGAACTGGCTGACTGCTTGACTGACAGGGAATCTCTGTCAAAAACACATCCCTGCGATGATCACTTTGTACCAGAAACTCAGCAGAAAGCACTTTTCAAAGCAGAGTCGCACTTTTCAACGCCGCGCACACAAACATCAGCGCTCCGACCAATCTGGGCTTTGGCAAATAAACGCTGACAGCTTTGATCGAGCGTGTTTGGTGTCATTTAACAGATTCGTATCATCTTTAGTAAACTGTCACCGTGTTATGATGACACACGCTTCGTGGCTTCACCTCGCCTCTGTGAAAATCTGCCACCAGAGAAGCTGCGTTCGCTGCGGCGGCGGCGGCGACTGTTGCACTCGTGTCGTCACGATCTCTGTCGTGGAGGTTTTCACAACGCTGCCGTCGCTGAAAAAGCAGCCTACGCAAAACCAAAACCGGAAAGTAAACGCACTCTGATGGTTGAAAAACTTCAATAAGTCATTATAAGACAAAAGATATCTGTTGTTGAGCTCAGACACTGCAAAAACAGAAAAGCTTACCAAGTTTTATATGTCTGGTTTCGAACACAAATATCTTAATAAACTTGAACAAAGACAAAACTAACTTCAACGTAGCCTTTCAGTTAATTATAGAAGGTTTTATGTCAATAATTCCTTAATATTAGTGAAAAATGCAAATTATTGCACTTTTAGCAATAACTTTTTACTGTAAATGAAATAATCTACTAGTAGATTTTAGTTCTTATTAAGGAATTATTGACATAAAACAAGCTCCTATATTTTTCTGAAAAGTTACTTTTACCATAAGCTATATAATTATTATTTTTTGTGTATTTATTTATTACATTTTACTTGAAGATGTATTTTTGACTAGTTTTAGGTACAAATATTTCCGTAAAGTTGAAATAAGACAAACATAAATAGACATAGGAGCTTGTTTTAAGTCAATATTCTTAAATATTGATAAAAAATATAGTTCTTATAACATGGGTAAAATATCTTGTTATAAGTGAAATAATCTGTCAATATTTTATCAATATTAAGGAATTATTGATTTAAAACAATCTATATCTTGCTGATAAGTTACTTGTAAGTTCGTTTTGTCCAATTTTAAGTGTAATAAGATGTTTAAACTAGAAATTTGACAAAAATAAAACAATTTCCCAGGGGGCCAAGGCCCCCCTAGCTCACCATTTAAGAACACCACTGCTTTTAAAGCCAGAAACAAAACATCTGCATTAATCATTAGATTAAATCACAATTTTTTTACTTTTTAAATGAAATTGCTTTGTTTTTCAGTTTTCCTTTTCATTTGACATTTTTTGTCAGTTTATCCCAATACAACACGATAAAGTAATGTGATAAAACGATGAACCGCTGCTTCTGCCTCTCCACATGAACAGCAGCTTAGCATGTGCTGACATTTTAATTCCTCCACCAAATCCCCCTTAACATATTTATCTCAGAGAACTCATCAAAAGCTCGTCCAGCCCCCTTTTCCTCCTCCTTCGCCCGCTTCAGTAATCATGAATATGATCATTATAACTTCACGGAGGGTCAAAATGTTTGCAGACACAATGAAAGAAAGAGACGGTTCGATTGCAGCGTCTCTTCCCGGTTTTCAGAGTGACTTTCTGCCGTTTCTGGCCCAAACTGAGGACAGATCGAGGGTGGATATTCTTGCGTGGTGTTTGGGTCACGTGGGAATCAAAGTCTCCCCGTCTCATCATATATTAAAAAGCTTTTCATCGCAGGTGCTGGGAGGCTTTACTAATTCATGGAGTTTTATCAGGCCTGGCACACGCGAGGCCAACAGCTTTCTGGATTAGAGTATTTAACACTGTTTTGTTCGGCTGCCTAACCGTCCTCAGCCGAGCGCGTCGCAGAGTTTCACCACGTTTGGATTAGGATCTCGACTGTTTCATTCACCGTCGCTTTGAATCCCGGTCAAAGAGACGCTTCTCTCTGCAAAAACACTCAATCCTTTGGGTGGAAGAAGGCAAAACTGACCTATAGATAACTTTTCAGCAAGAAATACATATTTTCCATTGACATGATTTATTGTTTTTCTGTTTTCTCTCTTTCTACCCAAACTGGTCTTCAGTTTTTTTTGTTTCCAGAGACTTCATGAATCATTTTATTTGTCGTTTTGTTGATTTATTTTGGATATTTGAAATGTCTTCCAGCTCCAGTTGTTAAATGAGAGTTTATTGATCTTTGAGGATGTGTTCTTGCTTTATTATTATATTACTTGAAAATAGTGTCAAAACGACTATATTATGAGTTATGGTGAAACTTCTGGGATAATTTATCATCCAAAATACAGTTTTCTGAATAAACTTCCAGAAAACTGCAAAACAGCTGAAACACTGAGTTCCTTTAAATCTGGACTAAGAACTCACCTGTTCAGGAACATAATCAGTGAAACATTAATTAATAATCTGATGTGTAACGACGGTGCTCGACAAAATGTAATGACTTTTTATTTTGTGTTTTATGATGTAAAGAACTTTGAACTGTCTTTATGCTGAAATGTGATTAATTTAAATGTCGTATATGACAGGCCTAAACATGGGAGCTTGTTTTGGGTCAATAATTCCTTAATATGGATGAAAAGAACCGGCAGATTATTTCACTTATAACATGGGAAAATGTCTTGTTATAAGTGAATTAAACTACCAATTTAACAAGCGCTTTTTCATCAATATTAATAAATTACTGAATTAAAACGAGTTTATATGAGTCACTTGTAAGTTAGTTTAACGTTATTTGAAGTGTAATAAGAAATTTGGACCAGAAATACTTGGTAGGATTGTATTTCTTTGCAGTGCTCCACAGCGGGAGAATATTCTGCTTCCAAACACAGACTCGGTCGGCTGAAAACAATCCACTTCAACTTTATTATCTTCCTCCCTCTGTTATAGCTGCAATGTCCTTTTCTATGATTGTCTATCAAGCTGCCTATCTCTGCCTGCACGACTGTTCAGTTAATAACCATCGAGTCGTCTCCTTTGGGCTGAGATGTGAGATAGACAGTGTTACACGCGCCGTGTCGGCTGTCATTTCTATGGAAACAGAGAGATCTTGAGGTTTTGAAGAGTTCCTCCTCATCCTCTGTGAAAGATATTACAAGACAGTTCAGAGGATCGAACTCCAACGCCTGCTGCTGTGACCCCGTCCCTCCCAGCTGCCCACCTTGCCGGTGAGGAAAATTTACCGCTGGCCTTCTCCTCAAATTAAGAGGAGGAAGAAGAAAAAAAACTTATGTGGAAATCAATGTGGCAGCCCAATGTGCATTCACAATGGCCCTTTGATCAATTTATATTGAAAATACAATTAAACTGTCACAGGGGGAGAAAAGAAAGCCACATGTGCTTTCAGTGTGGTCACCAAAAGGGCCCGGCACATCAATAGCCTGCTTTTTCTCCTTTGCCCCCTTATGGTCCCAAATTGTTGTAAAAAAAGGGCAGAGAACATGACGCTATATCTATTAGCACTGGGGGTTTTAGTCTTTTCAAGACAGGGAGACGGTAAAAAGAAAGCACCATCTCATTAGGTCACTGTGTCGATAATAAAACTTTCATTTTAAAAGAAAGGAGAGGATGAGGAGAAGACTGCAGCTAGCAGGGTGCTAGCATAAGTTAGCGCATCTTAGCTTAGAAAAATGAAATAAATAAGAGCGCATTAGTTTTCCTCGGAGCATTATAGCTTAGAAAATAATCACTAATCAACGTTTTATTAGTTTACCTTAGAATAAAAAGTTTTCTAGCTAACATATTTTCACAGTATTAGCGAGAAGCTAGCAGCTGTTTAGGTTTGCTAGCTGTGCAAAATCTAATATTGACGACGGCTTATTTGGCGCAGTGGTAGAAAAAGAGGCATAAATGAACACTTCA